TGAAATTATTAAGGCCCCTACATTCACACCTAAACCCTGCACATTGCCTCGGCTTCAGCCTCCATGCCAGGCATCATCAAACAGCACCTCAGCTCACATTTGTGGGCTTCTAAGGCTTTGGGATTTAGGGCTTGAGGGTTTCAGGGCCCAGGTACCGAAACAATGCACATCTTCGGGTCCTCCTGGTCTGTACTGCATTGGTACGCTCTTGGGAGTTTGAATGACGAGAGAACCCGAAACCATTCCAGCTACAGAGTTGGGGATTTATGTTCAGGGCTGCAGGATTCAGGACCTACATGACGGTTTAGCAAGTTAGTGTTGAGAGCAAGAGTGAAGACTTTGTGATGATCATGTCGAGGCTGTGGCCAGTGGTTCATCCGATATCATTTTCTGCTGCTGCTGCTGGTGACGATGACGATGGGTCTCTGAGGGTTTCGAGTTTGGGGGATAGGGTTTAAGGTCTGTCGCCTTTGAAGACTCACGACCGAATATCCTGAAACGCCACACCTCAGGATTTTGTCAGAGACGGCCCGGGTCCAAAGAACAACCGCAATCAGTGATGATCAGAGACCCTGTGGATCTACTGTAGTTTGAAGTTGGAAATCCAGTGGCCTCATGCCCTAGAAAGTAGCTGTTTCAAAGACCGGCCCTGTTCAGATTCCAACTTTACGGGGTATACAGACCCCGACACCAAGAGTCCCTACATCCTTCTTTATTTCTTACACTCTAATTTGGGACGATATGGTGACCTGGTCAAGGGCATAGCCGTGAGCTCCAACCTTGCAGTCAGGAGGGGGGGAGAGGAAGAGGTTCAAAGGATAACGCGTGCCAAGACCGTCAAACACGTACTGCTTGGAGCATGGCAGCATGCGAACGTTCGGTGAGCCGAGCTGTACGTCAACCACCTGAAAGTCCGAAAACAATTGGCTTACGATCTGGACTGTCGGGGATTGTGGCTTATTGGCTTATTGTGCTCAAGGTAGGTACGTCTTTGTATATACAGATATACATACATACATACATACATACATACATACATACATACATACATACATACATACATATACATATATATACATACACATATATATATATATGTATATATATACATATATATATATATATGCACATATATAGAGAGAGAACAACGAAAACAAGGAAAACAACAAAGACAGAAAGACAGACACACAGACAAACAGTAGTAAATTAATACAGATAGATAGGACGACAGAAAGTAAGACATACCTACAGACAGACACAACGAAATAACGA